GGAATGGCAGTACTTGATGCACACCTTCTTGAAACATCTTCTGGACAAGCATTGCTGCATTATTACCATAAGATTCAGAAGCGCTTTGCTTCTTGTAATTTTCAAAAACCATCTTATCATTTTAAAGGCACTCTTGGTCGATTTGATAATGCAACGATATTGACTCGTAGCTTTCAGTCTTTGGGTTATTTGAAGATACCACGAATGTTCAACCAAATTGCCTAAAGAAAGTCCCATCACTTTCCAGTGTCATTTCTGCCCGACTATTTGCGGAGAATTCTTGAAAATTTGCCCGACTGACATGGTTTTTCGAAAACTGGGGGGGCTGCCGCCCCCCAGCCCCCCCGGCCCGTACGCTTATGGCGATGAAGATAGCATTCATGCTGGAATTGAATGTGAGCACGATAATAAAGCTGCTTGTCTGAAACTCCAGCAAGTCTGTCAGATCACGAAATCCATGAAATTGAGATGGAATACATATTTTTTGGAAGTTCAGATGATGAGGAGAATGAAAGCGATGAAGATATGTGACTTCCTTAACAACGAAACTGGAGTTTCTGCAGCAAAAACACACACTTTTAGGAACGCGAGTTTTTGTTGAGCGGCGTTACCTAATAGTTGTGTTTCTGTGATGACCCTCCGTTGACGGGTAGAACTTCAATGTAGTCTTATTTAACGTGCAGAGAACACGGAGTCAGAGGAGCTTCAGTAAGACGTGTGTTGACTTGAACTGGGGTTATCGTTACTAAATTAAATGAATCTATCTACATACATATATACTAAACTGATTGTTCTAAGTATAATCGAATGACGCCAGGAAAACAATGCATAGGTTGGGAGAGGCAACGTGACGACAGATGATCAATGGAGGGGAAATGCCATGTGGGAATAGCAGTGTTTTGATGCTGATGATCTTCATGGTGATTAATGATGATGATGTCGTAATTGCCTGTTGGGAAATGTCTTACTTGTTAAGTGGAATGTGATGAATAGGCAGAAACGAGTGTATGGCGTAGGATGGAAAATAGGCCTAGGCAGGGTCACTACACACTGATATATTGCATGCACACTTTTTCTATTTTGTTGAAGTAAACATTTGTCACATTGTGTCATTTCACCGAAAGGCTCTGTTTTACGCTAATATAAGCAGGTCTTATATTAACTGGCAAAAAACATCTACTACGGAAACCGTTTACATTTTAAAGATTTTTTGTCTAGTTTTCATGACGTCATCAAAAAGTAACTTCCGGTAAAATTTTTTTGTCCCATCTTGGATTTGAAATCTTCATACTTGATTTAATGGAGGAATGCAGTAAAAGTTGAGATTAAATCATTGGCTGATATTTCAAGAGTTTTATCAATTTTTTGATGACGTCATTAAAAAAGTAACTTCCGGTGAAATTTTGTTTGGCCTATCTTGGATTTGAAATCTCCATACTTGATTTAATGGGGAAATGCAATAAAAGTTGAGGTTAGGCAGTTTGCTAGTTTTTTCTACAACATTTCCCTGATGTGAATGCGTCATGCA